TAGGAGTAACTTGGTCAGGGAATAAGAAATAACTTGGAGCACTTGTAAGGGCTCCAAAGGGTGCCTTCTGCTGAACCTTCTCCTCCCATTCTGTGGATCTGCATTGTTCTGTCCTGCCCGGGAAGCACTCTCGCATGGCAGGAGGAGGAAGTCCAGCCTAGCATGTTTCCCACCACAGTTTTTTGGAGAACACCTGTATCAAGGAGGCAACACTTGGCTAGTTCTCTGCAAAACTGTTCTCAGACCTCCAACCTTTGTTGTTATTGTGCACATCCTTCAGAAGGGCCATGCTAAAACGCAGTGAGGGTCACATACAGATCTACTTGATACAGTGGCATGTTGCCATGAGAAGGAGACCTTTAGGCTGAACTGCGGCTCATCGTGTCTGCTGGTCAGCACTGTGCAGGGAGCTGCAAGGGAGGACTACTTCCTCTGTTACTGTGCAGAAGCTGTATGAGCCTCCCACTGCATCAGTGTGCATCCCAAGTGCCCATTTGGGTGACTTGTGAGGAAATGCCACTAGAGAGTGGAGAAGCAGGGCAGACAGGGTCTGCTTGTGGGGGGCGGGGATCCTCTTTTCTCCCTGGGCCTGAGGTCCCTGCTGCTCCCAGGGCAGAAGAGCTCAGGAAGGACCAGCCTTCTACCTGCCCTTGCTTGCCGTGCCTCCCTGTGCATTTCTGGTCTTTTGCTCCCCTCTAACGGCCAAAGAGAACCTTGCTGCAGACAATGCTCTCGTGGGCTCTGGTGCTGGAATACCTGCGTGCTAGATCGGAGCTGCAGGTGGACTCATTTCACATCAGCATTGTAGGATTATGTGGGCATCAGTGAATGTTAGCCTTGCTCTCAGGGTGATTCCTCCAGCATCTTCTGTCACTGTGGCCTGTGGAACGCCAGCAGGACCAAACTGATGATGGAGAAGAAATTAGATTAGAGGGAGTTTCAGGAATCAATTCTCAGTGTTTTCTGTCTGTGACAGCATGCAGTGCATGCTGTGATTTGACGTGCTTTGCATTCACTTTGCCTTCCTGGAACATTTACAAGGGAGCTAGATGCTGGTTTACTCCAAAATGTGGCGTCTTTGGAGATCCGTATGATATATATAATTTTTGTTCACCTTGGATTTTGTTCACCTTGTTCAACATGGATTTAATCTATAAAGATGAAATAATAATTTAAGTCCAGAACCTGAGAATTCTTCACAACCAAGTGCAAAGCTATAACATATAGTTACTTACAATGATCCTCACTGCATGTTTCTTCCCTGTGAACTTGGAACAAATCTGTATTTACTGAAAATCCTACAAAATTGTTCTACTGAATATTTTATCAGGACCATACATGAGTCTGAAGTTTTTATTTGCTGGCTTTGGTGAAGGGTGTTTGTGTCAGCCTCCTCCATTGTTTCTTGACTTTCTGAGCAGTTTTGTCCCAATGGAATCATGCTTCTTAACAGGGCACACAGTATGCAGCTCAAGCTGCTTTTCTAACAGATGGGAGGACCTAGACAAGGAAGACTGGCTGCAGGAGTAGTACTGAAAACCTGGGAAGCTGTGGCACCAACATGCTGCTTTCTAGGAGCTGGGACTATGGCACAAGGCAATTAAATCTGTTGGGTTGAGACTATTTCCAGCAGTAAGTACTAATATCCAGTCCTGCCACTCTTATGCAAGTAATTTTATTGCTGGTTTTAATCCTTGGCAGAAAGCAGAAGCGTTGGTTATTTGGAGATCTCTGGCTCTTAGCTGAATTTTATGGTACTATTTTATGGTATGTTCTACAAAAACCTCAAGTGTTTGCACCTTGAATGTAATCTCACAATATGTGTGGGACTACCTAGACTTCAGCAAAGACTTTGACTCTGTTTCCCACAGTATTCCTGGAGAAGTGGGTGTTCCCATGGTTTGGTCAGGTAAAAAACCGACTGGAAAGCCAGACTCAGATTGTGGTATTGAATGGAGTTAAATCCAGCTGGCAACCGGTCACAAGTGGTGGTCCCCAGGTGTCAGTACTGGCACCAGCGCTGTTTAATGTTTTTATTGATGATCTGGACAAGGGGATTGAGTGTACCTTCAGTAAGTTTGCAGGTGACACCAAGTTGGGGGGATGTGTCCCTCTGCCTGGGAGTAGGAAGGCCCTATGGAGGGATCTGGATAGGCTGGATCAATGGGCTGAGGCCAGTCGTATGAGCAAGACCAAGTGCTGTGCACTGCACTTCGCTCACAGCAACCTTATGTGATGGTACAGGGGAGGGGCAGAGTGACTGTCAAGCTGCTCAGAGGAAAAGAGTGCTACTTGGAAGTGCTAATTGACAGCTGGCTGAACATGAGCCAACAGTGTGCCTAGGTGGCCATCTTGGCACCCTGTCTTGTATCAGAAAGAGTGTAGGTGATCATACCCTGTATTCAGCTCTGGTGAGGCCACACCTCAGGAACTCACTAAAAAGAAAGACACTGAGGCCCTGGAGCAGGTTTAGAGAAGGGTATTGCAGAGGGAACTGCGATTGTTCAATCTGCATAAGAGGAGGCTCAGGGGAGACATTATCATACTCTATAGCTCCCTGAAAAGAGGTTGTGGTGAGGTGGGAGTTGGTCTCTGCTCCCAGGTAACAGTGATAGGATGAGGAGCAATGGCCTCAAGTTGTGCCAGGGGATGTTCTGGTTGGATATTAAGAAAAAACTTCAGAAAGAGTGGTAATGTGCAGGAACAGGCTGCCCAGGGAAGCGGTGGAGTCACCATCCCCAGGGGCATTCAAGAAACTTGGAGATGTGGCACTGAGGGACGTGGTTAGTGGGCACTAGATGGACTTAGATGATCTTCTCCGACCTTAATGATTTTATGGTTACTGAAACATACAAGAGGTCTGGACCTGGTAATGTTCCCTCTTCAGCTCAAAGGCAGGCTGCTTTAGAAACCACTGCATCACCCACACTCCACTAAAGATGGCTGAGATCACTGCTGCCAGAGGGAAAGGATGGCAACACCCAACCCAGGCAGCTTCTTGGAGTGACCCAAGTGGAGCAGGAAATGTAAGGGCTGGGGGGTCTCTGGCACGGGCCCTGATTGCAGTGTGTTGATGCATGGTGTTCTCTGCTGTGTCCTTTCAGGTCAGGCAAGATGTTTCTTTTCTGTAACGTTGCTTTCTTCAACAAATAAATAAAAATTAGTAGAATTTGACTAGAGCTGCTAAAGATTGGAGTGCAGAACAGCTGAGCAGAGAATTGCAGCTTGGTTCTGCCAAGGGCACAAAGAGGAGAAGGAAGGGAAGAGAGCGTGGGGTGTGGGGGATGAAACTCTGCAATGGTTGTTTTCCTTCACAGTATGGCAAAACCACTGCTGATCAGAAACCTGTAAGCTGACTTTCCTGAAATAACCTACAAGTCCTTTGGAAAGAGGGGAATAAGTCAGGATGATGCAAAATGAAACGGGATTTTCATTCCTTTGCCAGACTCTTTCTGCCTGATAGAACAGAGAGCAAATCTCTCATCCAGACAAACGTTTCCTTCCTGTTAAAAGAAGCAGCTGTGCTGGTTTTTTTTGTTGTTGTTTTTGTTTTTTTTCCTGCCAAAACCTTATTTTGAACCTTTCTGTAAAAAGACTGGCTTTTCTGCCCAGCTGTTCTCTACAAGTGTTACAGGCACCTCCCTGTTGAAGTAGGCATGAAGCCTCTTAACAAAAGCCATTGTGGTTTGTGCCTTCTAAAGAAAGGCAGAATCTTTCCTACTACTTTATTTATGGAGCCTTGGTTGGAGGTGAAATTATTATCTTACCTTGGAGTTTTCAGCTCAGGGAAGAAGGCATTTGAACCAGGAAGGTGGTGCTTGGCTCTGGTCTACTGAGTCTTGATAAGTGGGCAGGTGGCACCTGGCTGGGACTCAGTGACCAGTGAGAAGCAAACCCCTCAACAGACCCACTTGTTGGCCTCCCTGATGCACAAGTTTTATACTTACATCTCCATGAGTTAGAAGAAGACCTGAGCCTCTTTTTAACTGAGCAAGTTTTCACAGATGCTTTGTTACCCGAAGTCCACTTCCAGGCATGGTAATGATGATCTCTTAATTGGGAAGAGACGAAAGGCAAGCAATTGTCACTCGGGCAGGAAAGAAGAGGAAGAGGTGGGGATAACAACAAAGAGGAGAAGAGTGCCTGTGTGTTAGAGCACAAGGTTGTCCAGGATGCTGGTTATCCAAGCACTGACCAAGTGTTGCTCTTTCCTGTTACTAGCTTTCCCCCACGACATGAGGTCATGAGCAGAAGCTGATAACAACAGCAGGGCAGAGAGCGCTACGTCCAATGCCCTGACCTTGCAGCACAGCAGCTAACTGCAGATTTAAAAACAGCAGCTCTTGAAAGCAAGAGAGAACTGATCATAAGGACTGATTTTGGCTGTGTTTCTGGACAGATAAATCCTGGATTGTTAGTTCTGCGGGTGCAACAGATTGAAGTTTAGCAAGCCCTCCGTTGCACAGATGTAACCAGCCTTTACACCTGCTGAGCAAATGCTGAATCTTGGCAACCTAGCTTTTTAAATGATGTTTCAGTTTTCAGGCAACGCCCTGAGAAACTGTGAAGACTTTGAGCGTCCGGCAGAGAGAAGAGGGCTGAGGTGCCCTGGAGCTCCGTGTCTGTACGGTGTTCGACTGCAAGTGCCACCAGCGGGGTGTGCGCATGGCACAGAGCTGAGCGCCTGGTGGCCACCCCAGTGACGGGCGTCCAGGTGGAAGTCTCGGGTGAAACACAGGAGCCTGAAGGAGCGGCGTCTGGAGGCACAGCTAGGCGTGCTGCGTTCAGCGCATTATGCCTACTAACCCCGAAACTTACCTGCATAGCGCAGACCGGGGGCTGCCAGCAGCAGGTGCCCCGCTCCGCGCCGCCGAGCAGCCCCAGGCGACGACGGGCGGGCGGGGGCGGTCCCGGGGCGGTGCCTGGGTTCGGCTCGGTGCGGACAGCTGCGGGACCGTGCGGCGCGGTGCGGTGCTGGGCTTTAACCCGTCGGCGCTGGAGGACATGGAGCAGAGCTTTAACGAGCGGGAGGCGATCAGGTGGATCGGGGAGAACTGGTGAGCGCTGGGCGCGATGCCGTAGGAATAGGGGCTGGGGCGCGTCTCGGCAGCCGTGCGGGGATGAGGCAGAGCAGCTGGGGCTGGTGGGGGAGGGCTGGAAGGAGAAAGTGGAAATTATGGCCCGAAACTATTGGGAAAAGGGGCTGCGGGTCCTGATCTGCGTTGGAAGATGTCCCTATCTGACCGAGCTGCGGTGTGAGAATGAAAAACATCTGCTAGTGCAAGCTCCTGTGTTTGCAGTGAGGCTGAATCCCTAACCTGCAGCAAAATGCTGCTGTCGAATAATTTGGTGCCTGCACTCTCAGCCTGAATAGCCAAGCTTGTTCCTCAAGAATATCCCCAGTGGCTTGATGTCGTAAACACTATTCGATGGGCAATTGCTCTGCTGGATTCAAAGAAGATGTTGAAGAGTAGCCTCCTCTTATATGGAGCTCTTGCTTAAACTAATTCTTCCTGTTTGGAGAATTCGCTTTACCCATTTATGCATTCACTCAGAAGTCAGCTGAACAATAAAGAAATACATCGAGCTCAGTTACATCTTGTTCTGAAATTTTTCTACCTTTTGAAGAGCAAGGGGCAGATCTCACTTGCTTTTCTCACTGCTGCCCACAGTTTTCTTGTCCTCATAATACCTTTAATAAATGCACTTCCTCAGTGTTTCCTGTTCACTGCAGGGGAAACCCCTACAAGTCGCCTTCTTTCTTCCAGTGTGTAACTGGTTTGCTGTACTTTCCTCAGAACCTGTCCACATTTCACTCTGGCTTCCTACTGCTTTTCACTTTCTGGAGCAAAGGGATGGCTCTTACCTAAACGAATTTGCAGCAAGACGGTGGCTTTGCATTTACTCGAGGTGTTCTCAGCTTAACTCTCTGTGACTACAAACAGTAATTGCTACCTTCTTTGTAGCAATGTTTGGCTCTTGTGCAATTTTGTATTTCGGAGAGGACAGCCTGTTTGGTTCCCGAGCTCCAGGAGAAAAGGGAGTTGTTCTCAGCCAGAGGAAGCCTTTCTGACTTCTTTTTTCGCTTTTACACGCGGTGACTCCCAGCCACGAGGAGCCCGGTGCAGCTGCGGCTCGAGGGGAGACCTGGCGGGGCTGGGAGCCGGTCTCTTCTCCATATGTTGTTACGGCGGCAGTTGGCCCTGGGGGACGGCACACCGAGTGTCTGAGGGGACAGGCTGGCGTGTAGCGAGCAGGGGAAGCCGGGAGGGGACAGTCCCGGACCTGTAGTGAGGAGGGCTGGGGACTTCAGCAAGTCGCCGGCTGCATCTGTGGCGCTGCTGCGTGGAGGATGGCTCGCCAGCGGCTCTGCTGGCTGGGGCTGGGCTCCTGAGCCCGCGGGCAGGAGTTTGTTAGCACTGAGACCACCGGAGCACGGGCTGGAAGGGCAGGGCGGCAGCCCGGGCCCCTTCACCGGAGCCCCCCGGTGCTGACACACTGCTGGGATTGAAGTCAGGCCACCGCAGCTTGCTTAAACAGCCTTTTATGCTCCAGTAGCGCCTGAGGTCAAACCAGGTGGTGCTTTGCTCTTCATCCTTGCCCCAGTGTAACGATTGCAGGATTAGCTCCTGCAGATGTGCCCCAACTCTCTGCTAAGGACTAGCTTTTAAAGACGCTTGATTATGTAATGGCTCCTGGAATAGTTGCAAATCTCTTTTGCCCTCCTGCACTTTCTTGGCAAGTACTGGGAGGTGGAGCAGGGCTCTCTGCAGTGCTTGGGGTCGCCTGCTCAGAGAGCTCCGTTGTGGTGAGCTCAGCAAAGTGGCAGAAGGAACACTCATCCCAGAGCACCGGGCTGCCAAATCTGCTCCTGCAGAGCAGTCGAGGGCTTGGTTTTGTACTGGGCCATCGGAATCTGCTGCTTACCTTGCGTGTGAGAGCTGTGCTGTTAGGGCCGTGTTTCAGCTCCAGGTCCTCTGCTCTGTTTGGTTCTCTTCCCACTGCTTTCCCATCCCACTGCACGGTGGAGCCCATAGGGGGACAGCCCTGCTCAGCCTCCGCACTGCAACTGGTTCCTTTGCACAATGCACAGGTGCACAAAGCAACAAAACACATCAACCTGTCTGCTCAGGATCCTGCTTGCAGGTTGTCATGTCCTTGTCCCACAGGGGCCTGCTTGCTGGAGCAGCTCCTGCTCTCACCTGTGATCCCAGGATTCCTCCTCACTCACTGCCAGGAGAAGCTTCCTGTGATCAAATCCAACACTTACACAAGAATGGGCAATGTTTTATTCTTTTATTTTTTGTTGAGAACTCTGCTGGGGCCACAGAACTCCACTGCAAAGAGGAACTCAGCCTGGCTCTTTCCCTAACTGCTCTTTCTCTTCTTGCAGGTATAACACCTTCCTTTTTTCTGTAGCTTATGTGATTCTGATCTTTGGAGTCCAATATTTAATGAAGGACAGGAGAGGCTACAATCTGCGCATGCCACTGGCCCTCTGGTCCCTGGGGCTGGCCTTATTCAGGTAAGAACTCTCAGTCTGGCACTACCTGACAAGTTCTAGCTCTGGTTTGTTTATTTATTTTATTTTGCCATGCAAGATGTAATGATCAGTCTAGAATACTTGGTTTTAAACAGTCTAGTCTTTTGGTACTGGTTTCCTACAGAGACCACGAGAAAGCCACAGTCTGTGCTCTGTGATTAAGTAGACTTCACATTGCCAACGTTGCCCTCATCTCCACATGTCTTCAGCCTGGTGAGGGAGCACTGAGCAAGCCTCCTGCCGTGCTAGGCCCTGGCTGTAGAGGAGCACCTCTGCCTTCGAGCACAAATTGGCTTGGAATGACTGATCACGGTCTGTTCGGAGATGTCATGAAATGTACAAACTGATAGCAAAGAAGCCTTCTGAGGGTGAACTGGACACAGCTTTCAGATCTCCTTTGGTTTTCTTGCAGCGCCATTGGGGCCCATCGCACCTGGAAGCACATGGTCTTCATGCTGACTACTATGGGATTTAAACAGTCAGTGTGCAATCAACTCTTTTATGTTGACCCCATCTGCAAGCTATGGGTCTATTTATTTATACTGAGCAAAGTCCTGGAACTAGGTGAGTCTGAAATCTCTCCTTTTGCAACATATTCAGAACTCCTTTGCTTTTATAAGCAGGCTTTTCTTCACAGGACTCTGTCAGAGAACAGGACTGTTTTGCCTTGCACGTCACTCACTCTTCTTGCTTCCTGTTTCTCAATCTAGATGATGTGTAGTCTTTCTGCAGAGGTACAGCCTGATGTTCTTACACTGGTTTCACCTTCTCAAGCCAATAGGCTGTTCTGCAATGGGAAGACAGCAGCAGATAGGGGAGTGCTGGGACACATGTGCAGCCCCATGGGGTTTTTTTGCATCAAACCTGCAAGAGCTTTCTTTCCTAGAGCAGGAGCCTGTTGAAGTGTTTGTGGCAACGCTTCCATTGGCAAGTGTCAAGTCTGTTAGGAGCAGAAGTGCTTGCAGAAACACAGAGAGGTGTTGAAACTGTCAGTAGGAAGTTTATCCCCTGTGAACAACAGGTGCCTATATGGGCAAATTTGACATGAAGCTAGTCTTGGTGGGCTCAAGCCAGGTAATAACTTCAGCATTACAGCTCTCTCATTCTGTTTCACCTGGAGGCTTGCATAACTTCTGTGATTTGCCTGACTGATGATGTACCTCTCCTCCAACCAAGGTGACACCGTGTTCATTGTTCTCCGGAAACAGAAGCTCATATTCCTCCACTGGTACCACCACATTCTCACGCTCATCTATTCCTGGTACTGCTACAAGGAGATGTTGTCAGGTGGCAGCTGGTTCATCACCCTAAACCTCACTATCCATACTGTCATGTACTCCTACTACACCGTGCGAGCAGCGGGCTTCCGGTTACCCCGCTGGATTGCCATGGCAATCACCTTTTCACAGATTCTGCAGATGGCAATAGGTGTAATATTGTGCATCTTGCTCATCTTCTGGAAGGAGGATGAGGTCTGCCTTTGCAGTTGGCCTAGCATTTCCTTTTCATTGCTAATGTACCTTAGTTATTTGGTGCTCTTCTGTAACTTCTTCTCCAAGTCTTACCTAACGAGCACTCAGAAATTGAAGGGAGAATAAAACTGGGGAGGGAGGAGGTGGAGGCTGGGAGGCAGGTGAGGGAAAGGGGAACTATTCATTTCTGGGTTGAGCTCAGGTACCCAATGGGATGGGGGGTGGTGAAGGTCCCTGTGGATGAAAGCCTTCAGGTTAACTTGTGCATTGGCCTTTGGCATGTTTCCCTCCCAATGGGGACTTGCCAAAGTGAGGCATAGGTTGCCATGTGCAATGCAAGGAGGAGGGAGGCAGAACTGGAGACTCCTTTGGTCCAGCTCCTGGCCCATATGATGCTGCCTAGTTTTGGGCTCACTCTGTCAAAGTAGAGAGGGAAGGAACCATGCTCTAGCTCATCTGCTGTTCTTCTTGGTTCTGCTGGCGATGAAGACCTCTCTCTGCTAATACAAGGAAAGCAATGAGTGGCTGCAAGTCTTCTCTCCACAACTGTTTGCAGAGCACAGAATGTACAGCTGAGAAGTAACACAGATCTCTGAGCTGAGCCCAGGCATTTAGCCTTACCCAATCTGCCATAAATGCTTGGCATGCTGACACAGGTTCAAACATCACCTCCCATAAGGCTACACCTAGAGTCACACAATGAATCACTTGAATGTTAGTGGTTATTACTATGAGAGTGCTGAGCAGGCTGACTGGGACAGCTGCTGCCTGGGCTCTGAGTAAGACCAGGTGTTGCTGCGGGCCCTGCCAAGGGACAGACCCATGGGTGGGAGGCAGAAGGGTCTGAGAACTCCTCTCTGGGTGCATTGGAAATGGCAATGGTGATGCCTGAAAATGACTAAAATAAATGCTGTTGTGTGTGGGTTTGTTTATTTGATGCCTTTGTTCTGAGTGGTGTGGGAAGCACTAATTTCGCCCTGCGTCCTGCTTGCTCAGCCACAGCACGGCACCACAGGCTCTGTCTCTCCGTGGGGTGTTTCCACCACTGCCTGCAGCTCCCCAGATCCCTCCCCACCTTGAGGCCCTCTGTCCCTGCACACAGCTGCCCTCACCACGGAAGGGCTCTAGCAGAGGCGAGCCTTGGCTGGCTTGTGGCAGCAGCATGCCTCACACCTGGCTCAGCAGGCACAAAGACACCCAGAGTGTTCCATTTGCACTGCAAAAAGAGCGAAGAGGAGATGAGTACGCACAAGCGTACAGAGCCTGGACAAAGTAATCTGCTTTGCTCCCATGGCAGGTAAGGACGTGGGGAAGGAGAGCCCTGGCTGCCACTGAAGTGGATTTTTTAAGGCTTCTGATGCTGTGTCACATTCTACACTCTCGAGAGAGCTTTAAAACATGATGTAGGTGGGATGTTGAGCGGGGGCAAAGCCCATTGGGTATCTTTACTCAGAGAGTTATCTGTGGTTCACTGCTGAAAGGAAGAGTTATGATGAGTGAATTTCAGGGACATCTGTCCTGAGGCTGGTTTTGTTCAACTCTTCCATCAACGATTTGGATGGAGGAGAACACATGCATGCTGTATCTGCAGACTGGGAAGTGTCCAGTGACAGCCTGTAGAATAAGCAGGAGCCTGCTAGAATGTGCCTGCTTGGGCAGCAGCACCAGAGACACAGCTAGGGAAGTGCTGAGGGGCTGAGCACCAGATCTCAGCTGTACCAGGAAGGCAAGTAGCATCCAGAAGGTGCAAGATCCCTCCTAGGGCTCACTGCTGCCAATTTGATCACTTTGTTATTTGTTTTTGACCATTCTGATGTCTGCAAATTTTATGGGTTTTTTTTGTTTTTGTTTTTTTTTCCCCCAGGATGCATTTGTTATTTGGTGCCATTGTACAAAGCTCTCTCAGCTCAGAGTTGGCGTATGGCTGCTGCTGGGTCTGGGCAATGTGTAGTGCTTCATTCTGACTGCACCAGAGGTGATTCTGGCTGTGCTGTATTCCCACCTGCACTCAAGTCAGTGTGGTGGTGAGGGGGGGTGGTGAAAGTACAGGAAGGGGCAGCTGTGGGAAGGACCCTGTGCCTTGATGAGGCATTGGAGAGAGCTGTGGCAGCACCTAGCTGTGGCTATCAGTGGGGATTAGGTACAGCTGGGGTCAGAGTCAGCTAAGGAGAGGGAATGAGAGGGGCTGGACTTATTCTCCTTTTTCTGGGAGGAGAGCTAGGGCAGGCAAAGGAGTCAGTGTGGAAGCACAGTACGTGTGCATGGTGGGGACGCTTCAGGTGGAGGGACAGAAGCCACCTCAGTATCATTGGCATCTAGCAGCAAGGTAAGAGTTCAGACTTGTTTTGGATGTGCTATGTGCTTTAGATGTCAATGCTCAATCTTTGTATGCACATTGCAGTTGGAGTTGTTCTTCCAGCAGTAGCTGCTTTGGTAGAGGGATTCCTCAATTTGGGTTAGCTCAGAGCAAAGCATAATTTAGCTAGAGCATTGTTGGACTGAGATCGGTGATGGCTTTCAGCATCTGCTCACCAATACCTTCAGCAGCAGCTGCTCTCTGTGCAGCAGGCTATGGTAAAGATGGAGTGGTTTATATGCTGCACAAAAAGGGCTATGCTCTTTGTCTCTTAGCAAGGATCCCTTTTAACAGAGTTTGCTTCCTCTGTTTGTGCTGGCAACATTGCAGAAACCTGGTTTGTCCCAGTTTTGCCTGTCTCATTCATGTGGAGTGGTTTGTCCTGCTGATGTATCAGGGTTGTGCTTGCCTCTGAAGTACGTGCCCCATGTGGAAAGAGACTGCACTGAGTGGGGACATCCCACTACCCGCTGCTTACATAGCTTTCTTGAGTTCTTGGGGAACCCCACTGTGTCCCTCTGCATTGGCAGAAGCTACAGGTCCTGCTGTGCACGCACCTCCAGGAGAGCAGCTCTGTTTTACAGCCTTCCTGAAAGAAACAGTGCAGGGCCAGGGGGGTGGGCAGGTATCTGCAGCCCCTACTGGAGGTGTTTTTTGGAGCCAGTAGTGCTGCAGGGACTCAGAGGCACTGGCCCACCCAACGTGATGGGGAAATCACAACACGGAGTGCTCAGCCTGCGTCTACCCCAGGCTTGGACTCAATGTTGGTGCTTGCTTTTTGAATCTTCAGACACTGGGTCATACTCTCAAAAACCAGGCAGGCAGGAGCCTTAGAGAGACTGTGCCAACTTTTATTTTATTTCCTTTTTTTGAAATGGGATTTGAGGAAGGGATGGAGATGTGCAAGGGGGGAGCTGATTGTTGCAGAAGGGGATGCTTTGGATGTATACTGGTGAAGGTATTCCTGTCTGACTGGAAATGAGTGGAGCAGTGAAGCATGGCAGGCAGCACACCATCTTGGTGGACATGCTTGCTTTATGGGGTTTTTGTTTTTAAGGTCTACTTCACAGGTTACTTCCTGTACAAAATGGTGTATTTTAACATATAGGTCTATATATGTGTATGTATATATATATATATAGGTATATATGCATGCACATATCTTATATCCTTACGACTCTCAGTTCCTCAAGGCTTCAAATCTGAAAGGCCATGCCTATAGATGTGCTCTCATAGGATGCCAATCAGCCAAGACAGTGACTGGCTGCCTAATAAGCAGATGGGTGAGATATTCTGCACCAACCTTTGTGTTTGTGGGGGGAGAAGGATGGGGTTGGCCAAGCACTGGAGAGCAGCCTCATGTCACCCCGTCCCTGCAGCTCACTGTGGTGGCACCCAGCTGTGCTGGGGAAGGGGGTTTAGATGGGCCAGGCCAAAATATGCTGAGCTCAGCTTCCCACAAGCTAGGCATACTTTCTGCTGGGGCTCCTGCTTCCCCATGGGGCTTCCAGCAGACTGTTTTGGTTTCCTTACCAACAGGGAGGGTAAGTATTTGGTGGCCAGGAAGGGAGGGAGACTGGGAGGGGAAAGACAGTCAAAATTCACCATACGATAGTTAGACAAATCTTCGTAGAGGTCCATCTGCCTGCTGCTGTGAGCTCTCGCTCTCTCATGCTCTTTTACTCTCTCTCACTTCCACTCTCACTCTGCAGGATGTACGCTGTTGTAGGGCTAGAGGTCTCCTTGTGTCAGGCTAAGGTCAAGTCCCCAGTCAGCAGAGAGCAGTGCTTCATACAGGCCTGTCCACGGCATATTGGCAAGGGCTCAGGTTGGAAGCTGCCGTCTGCACCGCCGGGTAAGTGAAGTTGGCGTGCTGCTTGGCCTTCAGCCTCAGACTTGCCAGGCTGGAGTTGCACGTGTCCCTGTACATGTAGGGGCTGGCTGTGGAGGCGTAAGGACAGGTGCTGGATGAGACGGCGGAGTTGAGGCTTGGGCTGTTCAGGTTGTTGATGTTTCCCAGGTTGTTGAGGCTGGAGGCCGGGACGCCAGTCACTGCAGAAGGGACCATGGACGAAGGCATGGTCATCGAGGCGATGGAGCTGGGTGGGGAGAACATGGGCTGGGAGGAGAGGGGGCTGACGTTCATGGAGTTGAAGAATGGGAAGCTCTTGGCCGAGAGTGGGCTGGTGGTGAGCCCTTTGGTGGCCCAGTTGTTGTAGGAATAGCTAGAATACATGTCATCATAGGGCTGCATCAGTCCGTTGAACTGGGCTCCAAAGCTGTTCTTGCAGAGCTCGGCCTGCTGGTTCCTCTCTCGTTTCCTCCACTTAGCCCTGCGGTTTTTGAACCAGACCTGTAGGAGAGGAGAGAGGTGGAGAGTCACTCTGGGCTGTCCCTTGGCATCTTTACCCAGCACAAGAGTGGGTGAAGTGCTGGGTCTGTACCTAGGGATGCTGGGCAAGGCATCCTTTGTTGCAGTGAGATGTCTATGCTTCAGGATCATCTCCTGGGGAGTCACTACCTTGATCAAAATCCAAGCAAGATGCGAAGATTGCACAGAATAACACTAGGTGTTTCAGGCCATCTAAAGATGGTGCCCACACTGTTGTGTGGATGCTGATGCTAGACAGTAGTGCTGGTCCTGTACAAGCAGCATGTTCAGGAACTACCTCAGGAAGCCTCTTTTGTCTCTGCTGTAGCTTTGACTTGTGGACCCTGGGCACTGCAGCTGCACTGTGTTCGATTGGCGTTAACTGGTGGAGGAGATCAA